GGCCGGCGGGGGCGGCCCTCGCGCGGCGGGAGGGAGATTTAAAAGCGGCCCCTTTCAGAGCCGTTGGCCTGTTCCTCCCGGACCCCGTCCCTTTCCCACTCTTTGTATCTGGTCATGGTTGGTCTCGTCTTTCATGTCTGAAAAGATAATGGGAGAGGAAAAAACAGAAGGGAGAAACGTCCTCCCTTCTGCCTGTGTAAAACTTAACGTGTCCCTTGGAAAGGTGAAGGAATTGGAAGCTGAGCATACACCTGGAGCTCGTTGTCACCTTGTCTGTCGGTGGGCTGGTTTCTTTAATGCACTAATGAATTGTTGCTTCAGTTTTCAGAGTAAAGTCAGTGATTTCTATGACACGGTGCTTCAGAGGGGCTTGAACAACAGGTACCGTGTGCTGGAAGTCCGAGTGATGCAGAGGAATGGCAGGGAGCAGGAGAAGCACCTGAGGGTGACGCCGTCTCAGTCGCTGGAGGACACAGAGCTGTGTGTTCTGCAGGATGGATGGTAATGTGCGAAGAAATGCAGCCTGCAGAGGCATATCTGGGGAGTCACGTGTTCATATCTAAAAAGGGATAGTGGCCTGTTAACTGTTTTCATCTTGTTGCCTTTGCGATGAATTTCATTCTCCTAAAAACAATGAATAATATTTCATTTAAATAAACCTTCTGTAATGGAGCCTTATCAGTATATTAGGATAAGGGATATTCATCATGAGGGCAGCTGACATCATGCTTGCTTGCATCAAGTAAGCACTACCACCTGAAAGTTTTCATATAGTTACTCCTGTGTTCATGCTAACAAGCAGTAAAGCAGTAAACTCAAAGCATTTCGTCTGCATGTTGTCTTGCAATGTTCAGAAGTGTTCTTTTAAATGATGTACAATGCCTATAAAATACGAGCTTTTGCGCAGTCTGGTAAGATGGGTTTAGCTTGAGCTCTACAGAAAAAGTGTTTTTCAAGGGTACATCAGGGAGGATTCCACCTCAGGTGTTTGTGTGTTGCATGGTATGCTATAGAAGAAAGGACTAGTTCAGTCTTTTGCAATGCATGCGCATGCACTAGCTATTTGGTGCTGCTTTGCATTTTACTCTGGAAGCTGAAAGCCAGGCCAAAAAGTCTGAGCTTCCATTTCTTGGTAGAGGAAATATAAATAATCTTATCTTGAACCTTGAAACTTGCAAGTCAGTAAAAACTATTCTGACCTTCTGAAACAAGCAGCACCAAACAAGTAAAAAGGTAGTTCTCATGTAATGTGCAAGAGCTGTATGCCAGTATAAATGGTAATGACACTGAGATATCTCAGCAGAGGGGCTGGTATACTGAGAATCTACCAGATTTTCCTACATGCAGGTTGTTCTGACACAGTACTCAAAAATATGCAGCTGTTGTCAGCTAAGAAATTCTCTAGTTTTTTTTTTTCTGGAGTTTCTTTAAGTGAGCTTATTAAATATAAGCTTCTTTACAGATTCATTCTTTACAGATGTGCTGACTCTGTGAAATATGTTAATATACCTTTGAGTGTTTTGTATCTTTAGCTTACAAGTGGTTGTTCTTATGCATTACTTCATAGGGATTCTATTCCAGTTGTTCCAGGAGACATTATTCATTTAGAAGGGGAGTGTAGCTCTGGTACCTGGATAATAAATGAACAGTCTGGATACCTGATTCTTTACCCAGACCTGCTGCTTTCTGGCACTACAGTAGCAAGTAGCATTCGATGTATGAGAAGAGCAGTGCTGAGTGAAAAATTCAGGGTGAGTGTTAATTATAGAGCTTAAAATGTTTTAATGCCTTTAGTTACTCTTTCACTTTAAGAATGAAAAATGGTGTTTTTGCCTTGTACTAAAACCAGTTGAAACACTGTATTCCAAAATGTAGTTATTAGCTGTTTTATAATGTTTTCAAAAAATAATTTAGAATGGAAACTGTCAGTCTTTGGCTGGGCTACTTGTATTTGTGGTGTGTGTGGTTTTTTAGAATGATGAGATAGGTTTTGGAGGCGTAATAGTGTTGGGATTACTTTGTGTGATCTGTTAAAACACAGTAAATATATATATATATATATATTTGTAATGAAATGGGTGCTGTCCATCAAGTGCAGCAAACGAAAGTCAAGCACTTAGCATAAAGCTTCATTCACGTTGTATGACTCACATATGTTGTATGGCTTCTGTTGTAGCGCTCCGAGTCTGGGTCATGCCAAATGCTCGTTGGTACAATTCTTCATGACATTTTCCAGCAAGCAGTAACAAATAACTTGGCCCGTGAAAAAGTGGAAGAACTAGCAAATAAAACTGTCTATGGACAAAAGTATCTTAAAGAAATGTAAGTAGCATTATAGGTTTTTTTTTTTTTTTTTTTTTTAAGCTGGCAGATAAATTTCTACTTCAAGTGTAGCACTACCATCTGGAGAGTATTCTGCCAAATGACCTTGTTTAATGAAACTTTGATATTGCTTAGTAAAATACTTCTCTATTTTATAATGTCATTTACCTTCCCTGATGAGCTACTCTTAATGTGAATTATGCCTCTTGAGCAACAACAGGTCTGTTTTTTTGTCAGGTCAACAGGGGTTGATTTTTGTACCTGTAACAGTAGACTTCTGTGCATGTTTCAAAGCTGAATTACACGTGGCAATAAATGTTGCTCCTCAGGAAATTAAATAAGCTTCTGACAGATCAGGCACTCCGATAGTTGCTATGCTTGTGTTCTTCACTGGGTTGCTGAAAGGCCCAGCCATGTAGGGACTTTTGTCTTATTTTCTGCACAAAGCTGGTAGAAATGCTATTCATACAGTCTTCTAGTTCCATCAGCAAATGACAAGGTGAATGATTGTCAGTTTTATGGTTTTTCTGATGGCATAGATTTAAATTGAATTCAAATAATGTAAAAATCCTATTCTAGCATCAGCGTTAAAAATAATATGTTGGGGTAATGTTAGCGGCCCTTAACCCATGAAGGTTTAAATGTTACTAAGGTTAGTGGCATTTTAATTTTAAGCTCTAGAATTACTTAAAGGCTTTTGAATCCCAGTCAAGTTGAACCTTAATAAATCTGTCATTTTCTGCACTTTATTGATGGTTCTTGCATTAGGGTTATTTCCATTAACCTTGCTAGTACTTGAATACTGGAGACAAGGCTAATATTTTTGTCTTGTTATTAAGTATGATTTTGTTTTTCAGGTATCTCTTAAATCTGAAACAAAAAGAAATAATGCAGGAAGTAGAAGAATATTTGCCCTCATTTTATAAATGGGCGGAAGACTTCATGCACAATCCAGCAAACCAAAATAAAATGCAACTAAAACTGTAAGAAGTCAGATTTAAAAGTTCAAATCATTCTGTGTTGTTTTTCTTCTCCTAGGAAAAGCTAATTAAAAATTCTCAGTGTATTATATTTGACTATATTTAAAGAAAACTTTATGTGAATCTGTTCAGTAATGTAGATGATGGTCTCATTGCCCAAACAATCATCTTTGAGATTTGCATGTTGAATTGTCACTGCAAGTAGGAGGAAAGTCCTAAAAAAGGATACTAACAGAGGAAGAACTGACAAATACCATAGTGGTCTTCTTTTGTAAACAGTGTCAGACCAAGTAGAAATGTTACTAATTAGAAGAACTAGCATGTGTGATGAGCTGATTGAGCCAACCGATAATGATATATATAAACTTACTGATAATATTATAGACAGACTTACAGACTATAGTATGAAACTATTAATCAAGTGCAGTTCTTTACCGAGACAAATTTATCAGTGAAACTTCTTTCACTGAATTGTGGCAGAGCTCTTCCTGCCTAGGGCTTCTCGTTGTCAGTTGTAATAGCTTCATGAACTGGCATATCCGAGTAAAACACTTGTCAGCCGTCTCCAGTGGGTGTTATAAAACTTTTTGAAAAGATTAAACGTTTTGGGGTATGTTCATGCAGAAAATACTAAAAACTAATAAGAACAGATTTAGATTCTTTATTAACTTCATTGCAAACTGAGGTGAATAGCAGAACTACACATAGCAAAGCTTTCTGATGGGATGCTTCCTCCCTTTATAGAAAAATAGTTTGAATTGAGTTTTTTTCCCTGAAGTTAGTGCTTAAAGAGTACATATAATGCAAAAGTCATTATTACTTAATTACAACATTGATAATATTACAATATCAAGGGAAATCAGTAACTTCTGACTTGCTTTGTTTTCTTCCTAGATCAAGTAATGGGAAAGTAGATGATCTGTCTTCTAGGATAGAAATTGTAGATATCCTAGACATCGAAGAGACTCTCTGGTCTCCCAGGTTTGGGTTGAAGGGCAAGGTTGATGTTACAGCCAGTGTGAAAATCCATTGCCAGTCTGGAGTACAGTCTAGGATAATGCCCCTGGAACTCAAGTCTGGCAAAGAATCTAACTCCATCGAACACAGAAGTCAGGTACAAATAATAGGTGATTTTAACTATATCGATGACTGCATATAAACTTTTATGTAATCAGATGGCCCTTTGTGTTATAAATGTAATTTCTTGCCTGTGTGTGATATAATTTAAAATAAGAGGTGGCTAATCACGGCAGTCCAAAGCTGCTGTTAAAAAATGAAAATGAACTCAGATGAAGGAATTATATACATTTACTACTTTAAAACATTTTTATGTGTGGTTTTTCTTTTTTTCTTTTTAATCCTGAATAATCTTTAGTCTCCTGTTACTACATTGAATTATTGGCCGAGGCAAAATGCTTCAATAAATAGTGCCTCTTTTCAAACAACTCATCCAACCTAGAGATTCTAGGGTTGGATTAACCTTTGCTAAGGAAGGTATCTTTTAATTGAAATCCTTGGTTAGACACTTATTGCTTTTGCTTTGTAGATTACCCGTGATAGAACTGACAGCTTAATTATATAAATTATGGAAATGCTGTTTATAATGTACTTGAAACTTATTGCTCTATATTAATATATATGGGTATGTATGTTTATGTGTGTATGTGTATATCAATAAATATATATTTTCAGGTTATTCTCTATACACTACTGAACTTAGAACGGAGAGTAGATCCTGAAGTTGGATTTCTTATTTATCTTAAAACTGGTACTATGTATCCTGTTTCTGGAACTCGTATGGATAGAAGAGGTAAAGCTGTTCCTTAGCTCTAGAAACCATACTTTGCTATCTTAATTACAATAAAACAGTATGGTTTATTTTCTTGACACTATCTGTACTTACAGATATATCACTTATCCGTCTTACTCATTTGAATAAGCTGGTGTTTAAAAACTTGGATTAGCTAAAGTATATTTTATTAATGCTCTGTTAGGACTTCCTGCTATATAAATACCTACTTTTTACCTGGCTAATGAAAAGCTGATGGCTGATTACTTCTGAGTTAGAAATCATTAAAACCGAAATCCAAAATATCAGCTTAGTTTGTTCTTTTCTTCACAGAATTAATGAAGCTAAGAAACCAGATGGCTTTCTACTTAATGCATGGTACATGTAAGTCTACTGTGGGAAGAAAGCAAACGCAGCTTGCTGCTTTGCCTCCTATAATTGATGACAGTCAAGCCTGTAAATACTGTTCCCAAGTGCACAATTGCTTTCTATATAGCAGGTAAGCAATAATAAGGAAGAGATACTTTGATTCTTGTTCCTAAATAAGCTTGAAATGCATTTTTTGATCATTTCTTCCCTCCTCCCCTGCCTAGTGCACAGTGTTGTATTTGAGTTGACTCTTACCCTCAAATAAATAATGTTTCATACACTCCTGTGCAACTTCTACAGTAGGCAGGTAAGTCTCTGTTTCTGCACAGATTTTTCTGTTTATTCAGATTTATTTTCAGCAAGACAAGATCTGAGCTAACTTCTAATATAATAGTTAATGAAGATTTTTTTTTTAAACCTATGTTAATAAGAATTATTTTAATGAAGCTATACCCTTGCAACTCTCCAAACTGGCAGTCTTTTGAGGGAATAGAACTGAGTTATGGCTGGTTAAAAACTCTTTCCATTTTATTCTGTACACAGTATTTTTTGGTCTAAACTAGACCAATATGTGTGAAATGCTACTTCTGATGTTCAGCTGCCATGGCAATAGGATTATTCCTAGTAGTGCAGCTTTTTTCCGTTTGCGTAGAAATAACTTTTCCCACTTGAAGTTTGCAGTTATGTACATGATTATATGTAATGTCTGTGGATGTTTCGTTTGAGATAAATGCCTAGAAGAACAGAATTGACTCTCTATATAACTGTGGAATTCCCTTCACTTAGTTAAATCTCAATATGGTAGTCATCTTAACTAAAAATGCAATAAAAAGTCATAAATCTGAATATATGTAGTTCTGTTTTAAAAAAAAAAAATCCTGTGAAAGTGGCCTTTCAGTAATTTTTTGCCTTTAATCATTCCAGATTAGCATTATGTACATGTAGACTTGCAAGGAAAGAGTTACAAGCTGACTGTTTTTTGTACTTGGGTTTTTTGCTAGGGCTGTAGAACAAAAGATGGCCAGTGTGTCTCTTCCTCCTGTTATGGTACCTGTTATTGAAAAAGAGACCCAGCATCTGAAACCCTCCCACTTAGAGTATTTCAGCCTGTGGTATCTAATGTTATCCTTGGAACTACAAAGTGGAGAGAGTAAAAAGGGATCTAAAAACATATGGATGATACCTTCTTTGGAAAGGTGAGAGTTAATTCTTAACCTAATACAAATTATGCCTTCTTCAGTGACTGGAAGAAAGGTGTGATATATTTGTAGTGTTTTCCCTACAATGGAAATGAGTTGTTTGTTTTCAAGTCCTTGTAGAAATATTCTTTAAAATATTCCCTTCACTGAGATGATCTTGTACTTGAATATATATTCATATTTAATATTTTCACAGAGAGAAGGCTGGAGATTGTGTTGGAAACATGATCAGAACTGGTCAAGTGCAGGAGATTTATGAAGGACAATATCTACATTGTTTCCAACGTAAAAATGGTGCGATACCTATAACAAACCTCCTGGTTGGTGACAGAGTGGTCGTAAGTGGAGAGGAAAATGGTTTGCTTGGCTTGACTACTGGCTATGTTAGAGAAGTCACTGCCACAAATGTCTACTGTTTGTTGGGCAGGTAATAAAGGTGGGGTGTGGGAAGGAAGTCTGTCTGAAAGCACTCTTCCTGATGCTAATACTTTGGTGCTTCCATGCCCCTCAAAAACTCTGACATAGGTCTGATTAACTTTGCTGGGATTGGGGGAATACATGTCCAGGATTCTTGCAATTAAAAATGTTGGGCTTTGGTCTATGTCTATGCCTTTGTGTTTAATAAGGTTGCTTAATTAAAAGCAGACTTTCAAATTCTATGTCATTATGACTGCACCAGGAGACTGGATTACTGTGTTAACAGCAGTTTTCATTATTGTGACTATGCTGCCTTTGAATTGGGCCTTGTTCATATCCTGCCTCTGAGGAGTTATCTGCTTGGGTTGTTTCTTCCAGCTATTGCTTCACTCTGTGACTTTAGGGAGGCTTCACTTAACACTTATTACTAAGTTATTTTGTCCATGGTACTGTCATCCTTCAGGAATTTGTCCAAGCTTCCAAAGAACACTGTATTTAGATTGGATCATGAAGAAGGAAACTTTGGTATAGGTATCCCCCTTGAAAATCTTTCCAAATTTATGGAAGACACCCCAGTCAGGTATTTTAAAAAAAAAAAAAAAAAACCTTTCACACTTTTTAAGATTTTAGGTAGAGTTTCTCAATTGGTATCTCTTATTTCTACTTCCACAGTGAAAAGCTTCGCAACTTGATAATTGACTTCCACAAACCATGTTTCATTCAGCATTTGAGTTCTGTTCTTCCTCCTGAAGCTAAGGAAACTGTTGCAAATATTTTAAAAGGTACGAAATTTGTTTTCCTCCCCCCGCCCAAGCCAGCTGCTTATAAGTCAGCCATTACTGCCAAAACAGTTATCACGTCCCGTTAAATAGATCTTTTTTCCCTACTTGGAGGTTCATTTATAACTTTCTGTTTAAAAATAAACTTAAAAAAGCTTTCTTAAGGTGAAATTCATAAACTAGTTGGAAAAATGACTAAATATCGCTTTACAATTCTAGTTTTACCGTTATTAGTTCCTACAGCTTAGTTTCAGATGGAGTAACGTGATTACATCTCTGACTTGCAGAAAATTGGGGTCAGGGAAGACTTTTGGCACAGGGGAAGTGGACTCTGAGGGATTGGAAGCACCTGAACTTTGGTGTGAGTTCCCTCGTACTGGCTTTTCTGCTGACCTGTGGCATACAGTGTAGTAGTTGCTTTTGTGGGAGTTCTGTGTAAAGCAAAATAATTTTGCTTTACGTGGAAGCATCATTTGTTCACTGAAATTACACTGTCATTCTTGACAGAATTGTCGGTGAAAACATTTAACTCTATTTTCTTAAAGCAAATCAAACTCTTATTAAAAAAAAAATGTAGTCTGAAGACAAAGATGTGGCTTATTGCTTTGAGGTCTTCTTTAAATAAGAGTTTTGCCCAACTTCCCATGCAGCCACTGAAGGGATAGGAAAAGGAGGAATTGTATCCCTAAATTCAAGAATAACAAAAGTGCATGGAAGAGCTAGACAAAAGCATCTTCCCAGAGGAAGAGTACATGTGAGACATGTTTTGTTTTTACAGTAAATCTAGGCATTTCTTAAAACATGAACTTTGCCCAGTCCAGGATCACTGGCCATCTGCATCAGACTGTGGAAAAACAGCTCTGATCGTGTTTCTTATTTTCAAGATGATGCCACCTGTGCAGCAAGGTTTATGTTTGAACGTGAAAAGAGGTATGATAAAGTAGATAAGACATCTTATGCAGATGGTAATTTAGGGCATTAGGGGGAAAAAAATAACAAAAGGCCTATGGTGAAGAAATGTCTTTAATGACTTATTTCTAGGGCTGTAGAGCAGATCTGTACAGCTTATCTGTGTGCCGTTGTGTTTAATATCATTACTTCATTATAATCCACAGGCTTACTTTGCTATGTCTTTAAAGGCTTTAGCAGAGAAGGAAACTTGATTAGATTAAATACAGAAAATGTAACTATTATTAATGAGAGGCATTTCACTTCTTTTTTCTTTAAAGGTCTTAATAAGCCTCAGAAGCAGGCAATGAAACAAGTGTTGCTTTCGAAGGACTACACGCTTATCGTGGGTATGCCCGGAACAGGAAAAACTACCACAATATGTGCTCTGGTAAGATCATGTAACCTGATATTGGAAAATTTTGTGAGATTTGAAGGAGGGCATTAAACAAACTGCATAACACATACTTCTCTAAAACAATTGTGATGCCTTAATCAACTATTATCTGCATAACTTCAAAAAAGAATACGCATTTATTTCTACTTAAGAACTTGCATTTGGTAGTATTAAATATACACGTGGGAGGGAGGAGAGTGAATTGTGTTATGTAATCATTTTGATTTTAAAATTAGTCATTCCCAAAAGTAAGTCCTCACTTCTTGAGTTACAACTCAAAAAAAGGTCTCCTTGGGGAAGTCTGCAACTTGTCTGTTATAAACAATATAAATCCGTTATGGAGTTTGCTGGCTACTTGTTGTAACTGGTGGTCCTATTTCCCCAGGAATGTCCTCTAGGAGCATACTGGATTATAGCTGTGGGCTGAGTGAGTTGTTCTTGAAATAGCAGCAGTGTTTTACCTCTGTTTGTCATCTTTCCTGAAAGAGCATCTTAGGCTTTTATTTTTTTCCCTGCTGCACAAGAAAGCTCATGGGGAAAGAGGAGGATAGAGAGCAGGCAGCTACTGCTGAGTCCCTCTGTGTGGAGCTCCAACTTGGAGTTGCTAATTCCTATATGTAAATTGCCAACTTTTCTTCTTCCTATACCAATGATTAGGTGAGAATTCTTTCTGCTTGTGGCTTCAGTGTTCTTCTGGCCAGTTTTACACACACTGCTGTGGACAACATCCTGTTGAAGCTGGCCAAATTCAAAGTAGGATTCTTGCGCTTGGGGAGAGCTCAGAAGGTTCATCCAGATATACAGAAGTTTACAGAAGAAGAAATTTGCAGGTCCAAATCAATTAAGTCTGTAACTGATTTGGAAGAGCTCTATAACAGTCAGGTGAGAAGAACTTTTGCTAGCCCTGCGAGACATTATAGATCATTACATTAGGATTCTGGTTGTTCAGATACTGTAGAAAGGGAACCCATTCCAAAGGGATGTTACTGGTACAAGAAATCTGACCCCCAAAAAATCAATTCAATCAAGTTAATTCCTGTATCACTTCCATTTATAGCAGGTAACAACAAAATAAAATCAATCTGAAAGTTGAAAGGCATTTTGTATGTCTACGCAAAATAACTAATTATGCTAAGTAATAATTCCCTTAGACTCTATTGCTTTTATCTGAGATATTGCTTCATGGTACCTATATATCTCCAACATGGTCTTGCCCATAACAGATCAATATGTGGTCCCATGACAGCTTGATCCAATTAAGGAAAAGGTGGTGTAACTGCAGCTTCCTCTTCCATCTTTA